GAAGATGTCCAAACTACTTAAAACATGGCTTCAGGAATTGACAAAATACTTATTGAAGTTTGAGCTGGAGGTACTCATTTGTCTATGCCAAGAAATCTAGAAAACTGCCACCTGGACAGCCTGCTGAAAGAGATCAATATTTGTACCCATTCCAAAATGATGCAACAGAGTGTGGAAATTTGGGGTGAACAATATTGTTAATATCACACACAAGTAAAATTTTACTAAAGACAGTTTTTAAGTGATTGCAGCGATACATCAACAAATGTAGCTCTGAGAAATTTAAGCTGGATTCTTAAGAAAATGTTGAATGTGGAATATTATTGTTGATACTATATGAATTGGGACTGAGAAGAGAATACCAGAGGGATGTTTTCTTGTCTATGCAAAGGCAATCAGCACTGTATATTATAAGAAACAATGGAAAGCATTATAGAGAATGGAAATTAAAGTTTTTGAGGTTATAAATCTTCATGAAAACAGGCTGCCTTCAAAGAACAAAAAAATCATATTGTGTGCTCACCTCCCCAATATGATCACTGAAGTCAAATGGGTGCATAAGCAAAGGTGGTGAAGAAAACTGTTGGTGCCCGGCTATCAAAAGATGCAGTGTCTGGGGTCTTAAAGGCTTGCAGATAAACAAGCGGCTATCTAGCTCTGAAGCAACAAAGCCCACATGGAAGAAGCACAACAGCCTGTGTGATCATGAGGTGTCGAAGGGATCAGGTATCAGGCATCAAAGAACAAAAAAACATAACTTTGTGAATGAGAGGGAGGTAGGAGTGGGGACCCAAAGCCCATCTCTAGGCAACTGGACATCCCCTTACAGAAGGGTCGCGGGGAAGGAAGGCAGTTGGTGCAGTGTAACAACGATGAAACATACAACTTTCCTTTAGTTCCTAAATGCCACCCCACTATCATGATCCCAATTCTGCCTTACAAATCTGGCTAGACCAGAGGATGTACACTGGTACAGATAAGAACTGGAAACACAGGGAATCCAGGACAGATGATCCCTTCAGAACCAGTGGTGAAAGTAGCAATACTGGAAGGGTGGAGAGTGGGTGGTGTGGAAAGGGGGAACTGATTATAAGGATCTAGATATGGCCTCCTCCTTGGGGGACAGACAACAGGAAAGTGGGTGGAGGGAGACATCGGACAGTGTAAGATATGACAAAATACAAATTTATAAATTATCAAGAGTTCATGAGGGAGGGGGAGCAGGGATGGAGGGAATAAAAATGAGCTGATGTCAGGGGCTTGAGAGGAAAGCAGATATTTTGAGAATTATGAGGGCAACAAATGTGCCTTACACGATGTATGTGTGGATTGTGATAAGAGGTGTATGAGCCCCCCGATAAAATGATTAAAATAAAAAAAATTTTTTTAAAGAAAAGGAAACAGTCTGTCTCATTTTTCTCCCGTGAAGAAGCTGGTGGATTTGAACCACTGACCTTTTGGTCAAAGACCCAAGCTTAACCCACTACTTTCAGGGAACCTCCCATAAAGATTTCAACCTAGGAAACCCTATTGGACAGTTCTACCCTGTCCAATCAAGTTGCTGTTTGTCATAAGCAACTCATCATACAAACAGTTTCTGATTGGTTTCTAGTTTTTATTGTTTTCTAGTTGAAAAACAATGGATGCATGTGTAAATTTTTTTAATTATCTAGGACCTCTGAAGGTGATTTAATCCTCTCTCTCTAATAACATTTGGATAATGTAAATTGAAGACAGATGTTGAAATCCCTTCTCCCCATAAACAGAGCCTGAAAAAATGGAAGTGAATCGAATGGGCTCAGGGCTCCTGAGTCATATTATCTAAATAGCTTTTAATTATACTAGCATATACAGATGTCAACCTTAGGCTTCTTAAAGTGTCATTTGGCCTTTACTTTGCTGACTCAGATATTGAGTTCCATGGAATCAAAGTTTATTGCTTTGATATTGTAGGTTTCCTCAGGATGGGTAAGCATCCTGTGAGTGACTAGGAATAGAGAAATGGTCTAAGAGAATAAAAAGGGTTATTTCTTTTCCCTGGAAATTACTAAAGTGAGGACAATAGGTTTTCCTATCATGGCATTCAATATGACATGCTTTGGGCAAAATGCTTACTCACAAATATATCTATACTAATGACATGATGGTGTGATCTCCTTAGGAAGCTGCGTAGAAATAGTACTTTTTATCTTAACAGAAATCTTGACAATATTATATTTTTAAATCACTAGTATTAAATAGATGCATTAGTTATGTACCCATCACCTTGAGAGTAATATACTGTTGCCTGAAAGAGGAGGTAATGTAAGGAATATGGTAAAGTATCCTTAGTTCCCCTAAATATGTGTTGATAGTTTTACTTGCCTTAAATGAGGAGAATTGCTATAGAAGGATTGCTATAGAGGTTCTGAGCATTGGAAGATGAGAGAATAGGAATTTGGCATCTTTGAAGTTGATACATAGATTTTTAGTCACTTTTTATATAAGGTAATATAACATTTTTTGTATTTTTGTAAGTCTGCTTAGCAATATGAGACCAGGAGTTTATAGATAAAATATTATTGAAAGCTAAATTTAATCATAATACTAAGAGGGATGAATACCTAAAGATTTCCATACTTTATTTAATAGTTTGGAATGATCTTCAGGATAATGCTTCAAGTCATTGTTCTGTACTTCTTTGTGCTACACCACCCCCACCTGCCACCTCACCCCCACCAAGGAGCCCCCAAATTATGGATTAGAGACACTAATGAGAGCTTTGTATTCTAAGCTTATTCCATTTTATCCAAACATATTTGCTGGTTAGAGGTGAAAAGTTTTGGTCTTCAATTTTATTTTTTCTCTAAAACTACCTTCTTTTTCCTTCTCATTTTTTTGCCTTGCCTACTTTAAGTCAGCTCACTGCCTTTTGCCAGCCCTATTTTCCAGCCTGCCACATTTAAGGTTCTGAGCAGACACTGTCAGTAACTGCAGTTCACAGGGGAGCGGAAAGGGCTGAATACAGACATGCACATCTGCGTGGGCACTTCTGATCAGTAATAGTGTAATGTTTTCTATTTTTGTTGTTATCTACTGTCGGAAATGAGAAGCTGAATTGATAGGGATTTTCTCTGAGGATTGGGGATTGGGGGAGGGGGTAGTTTTTCATGTGACTTAGACATGCTGCAGCAGGACTGAAAGCACTCAGCTGCTCACATAAGGAAGAAAGAAAAAAATTCCCAAGGTTGAGATCACAGAATTTGTGGGGTGTTTTCAGATTTTTATTTCTTATATATGTTTTCTTTTTTTCTATTAAAAAAATTCTACTTAAATTGCTGAAGGTTGGAAGTGGGGGATGACCTTTGTATAATAAGTACCGTAGATTGAGGTCTGGGAGGAACAGGCTGCAACAATGATTCGTATGGTAAGAGACTGTTTAAATTCTCCAAGACATTGTGACTCACATTGCAACCCATCTGACAAACGGTTAGCGAGCTCCTTGGCCATCTCAGATAATATAAAAGAGCAGTGTATCAAAAGCTCTATTGGTGTGCTTTTCTTTTTTAACTCCATACAAATCTTAAGAATATTTCACCTACATCCAAAACAGTTATTTGTCTACATTTAAAATCTCGCCTTAAAAGGTGAGAAATATAACTGTTATATGCCGTTGTCCCGTATATATATCTCCTTTGGCATAATTTTCTCACTTTCCTTTTAAGCTCCAACATATTGGAGACTGAGTTTTTGTTTGTGTTGTGTCTGAGATAGAAACAAATGTAATCATGATGCTCTAATGAGAAGCTCTGTAGGACTAGTCTGGAACACTTTTTCAAATGCTGTTCTTCCCTGGTCGCTTTGTGTGTCCCCTCCTCCCTCCCCTGCCCCCTTGAAAATGTAGTGCTGTAGAGTCTGGGGTCTAGGGTAAAGCTCTGTTACGTATGCAAACATAGTTAAGGCTTTTTGTACAAAAGGAAGTAGTAACAAGATACTTATAATTTCAGTACAAATCGGCAACTAAGCATGTTAGATCCAAAGAAATAGCTTGTATTTTCTGATTCTGATTCTAAGGTTGCTTGAGATTCATTCATTAGGAACCTAGCTCTTATTGAAGTATGTAAGAATTTAAATAATGATGTTTTGACATAAAAGTGGCAACCTGTCATTTGATTTAAAGAGTAGAAGGAAATCAGTGCTAATGTGAGCCATTTTTGTTAGTGTACGTAGTTTTGTGTTTTTAAATGATTGTGTTTGGTAGTTTCTCCTAAAATAGCAGGAGAACACATCTTTTTTTAACAGATGTGTGTTATTTGACAGCACAAATGACTTGTGTATTGACAACCTTTTCAATTTCTGTATGTTGTTTTCTTCTAAAATTGGTACATGGTCATGTTTTAAAATTAACGCTTTGGTTAATTTCCTTTTCTTAATATTATTGACTTTTCTATTAGCTATTTTTATGTAATTTGAATTTGATACTTAAGGGTTAAGCTTATAGGGCTGATGCAACTCCTCCTTTTTTTTTTTCACCAACAATTTTTATTGGACAGTATTTCCATAGCAACAGTGAGATCAGTGAGACCTGAGGGTTTCATTGACTATTTTTCTCCTCTTCCTTTTTTAATCTATCCTTTTTTCACCACATTTTAGTGAGAAAGCGATTTTTTTAACAAACAGAGCTTGTATTGATTTATATTTCATAAATAATTAAAAGAGGGTAGAAAATTCTGCCCTTCATTTAAACATTGAATGTTTCATTATGTATTTAAAAAGCGATTCGGGTTTAGGAGGCTGGATAACCATACCAGCTGTAGCTGATGTTCTCAAATATTCTTGCATTGTCTGCTGGTCCTCTAGGGAAAAGAATAATGTGGAACAGGACCTTAAGGAGAAAGAAGATACTATTAAACAGAGGACAAGTGAGGTTCAGGTAAGTGAACTATATAATTTAGTATTCCTTTCTAATTTAGGAGTATTTATTTTAAATGTAGAGGATCATTTATTATCTGATAGGTGTGGTATTTATGAATAGGTCAAGTGAATACCTAATATTTATGTAGTATAAATATTTTTCTTTTCAAAAATGATAACATTTGCTTTGAATTCTGGCCTGCGAAGAATACACTGCAGTGAGAAAGCAGTATTTTCCAACTGAGATTCCCAGTTTAAAAAGTATTTTCAAAATAATATTTACTTGCATATTATATCACTAAAGATAAGTGTGAATGATTTATGGTATGAATATTATTATACCAGTAAAATTAGATGAATGAAGTAACCATCATAGCAGAGAAAATAGATTTTTCATGGGTGTGAGATTTTGTTAGCTAAGAGACCTAGTATCGTAATAATACTGGTAAGGGGAAGGATGTGGTATGGAATAATTTAAAATAGCATGTTATAAGTTACTTAGTAACCAGGATGTCTTAAACTTTGGCATAAAGGTACTCATTTTCCCCAAGTGCCGTTTAAGTAGCTTCATCTTATAATTAGAAAAGACATGGAAATCTCAGTTTCTATTTGGGAAATGATGCAAAGGGGACATCTAAGCATTAAAAATAGAAAAAATCGGGCAGTGCTGCATTTACAGCAGTAAGTAACATTATGTGGCTTTGCTATCAAGGTACCGTTTCATAAATGCTGCACTAGCACACACGGGGTTGAATGTAAAAACACTAGTAGCAGTTGTCAATACGAGCTCAATGGATGGGCATTTCTTAATATGTTATTTTTTACTTTCCATTTTCTTGTTTGTCCTACTCATTTAATATGATAAAAGCTCTACAGTTTGGATTTATTGTTTTGTTTTGCTGAAGGACATTCATCAGAAATTGTCAGGTGATTGTGCTAGAAAGAGAATAATTTACTGTGGGGGTTTAGGAAGAAACCAGAGAGGTTTCTTGTGGGAAGTTGATTTCCTGGTTGGTTGACTATATTTTCTGTGTTTACTGGACTTTTCATAAAAGTGATGAGAGTCAGGATATTCCTCTTTTGGCAATGAGATGAGAGTAAGTGGAGGACTACCTTAATTACATTATCTTTGTACAATTTTTGAGCTTCTTAAGAAATATAAAAGATTTACACAATTGATGTGTGTATGGATTACGATAACAGTTGTATGAGCCCCCAATAAAATGTTTTTTAAAAAAAAGAAATATAAAAGAGTCATGTGTTTTTAAGTAGGTACTGCTCAAATAGTGTAAGAATAGAAAATCAAAGGGCCGCAAGGGGAGGGGGGGAAGAGGAGCTGATTCCAAGGGTTCAATAGAAAGTAAATGTCTAGAAAAAAGCTATGGCAACATATGTACAAATATGTCTGATACAATTGGTGTATGGATTGTAACAAGAGTTGTAAGAGCCCAATAAAATTATTTTAATAAAAAACAAAACAAAGAAATAATAGAAAATAACCTATAAAAGTTTCCTCAAGCTGAAGAAACAAATTATAGTTAGTGGTATAATCTTAGAGAGCCTCTGAATTTAATCAGCTGCTGCTTCCAAATACATAGGTTCTTCAATGAGGGCTGAATATTTTATTATTTGAATATATCTGTTTGTTTTTTTTCTTCCCTATCTTTGAGAATGTGAATTTAAATAACCAGTTTGGAAGAGCTAGTAAGATTTTTGAATTGTTTCTGTCTGGCTAAATGAACCATCCTTGAATATTTGATACCTTATAATTTCATGTCACTTGAAATTGTTCAGTGATTCATTTGTCCCTTCTTAGTACTGATGGTAAGGTGTACAATTAACCCTAACCTTCACTAAGTCCAAAATATATGATTAACATGGCAAATCCAAATTGTTGCATTTTTCTGCATAGGGTACTGTAAATAATAATGGTTGATCCTACATTTATAGAAAAAGAGCACTGGATTAATTAAAGCTTTGGGTTAGTAGATTTATTACTTATTCCATCCTGCTAAAAGGTATCTCTGCATTATCCACAGTAATGTGGCATTAGGTTAAGATATGACAAAATAATTTATAAATTATCAAGGGTTCATGAGGGAGAGGGGAGCGGGGAGGGAGGGGAAAAATGAGGAGCTGATGCCAGGGGCTTACATAGAGAGCAAATGCTTTGAGAATCATGAGGGTAACGAATGTACAAATGTGCTTTATACAGTTGATTTATGTAGGGATTGTGATAAGAGTTGTATGAGCCCCAATAAAATGATTTAAAAAAATAAATGTTTAAAAA